TCTGGGAATTGTCCCCAAAAAATCTGGGAATTAACCCAAAAAAAATTGGGAATTAACCTAAAAAATCTGGGAATTGTTCCCAAAAAATCTGGGAATTAACCCCCAAAAAAATTGGGAATTAACCAAAAAAATCTGGGAATTAACCCAAAAAATCTGGGAATTTAGGGAGAAAAAATTCGGGAATAATCTCAAAAAAATCTGGGAATTGTCCCCAAAAAATCTGGGAATTAACCCCCAAAAAATCTGGGAATTAACCAAAAAAAAATTGGGAATTGTTCCCAAAAAATCTGGGAATTAAACCAAAAAATCTGGGATTTAACCCAAAAAAATCTGGGAATTAACCCAAAAAAATCTGGGAATTAACCCAAAAAAAATCTGGGAATTGACCAAAAAAATCTGGGAATTGACCCGAAAAAATCTGGGATTTAACCCCCAAAAAAATTGGGAATTAACCAAAAAGATTTGGGAATTAAACCAAAAAAATCTGGGAATTAAACCAAAAAAATCTGGGAATTAACCCAAAAAATCGGGGAATTTAGGGAGACAAAATTCGGGAATAATCTCAAAAAAATCTGGGAATTGTCCCCAAAAAATCTGGGAATTAACCCCCAAAAAATCTGGGAATTAACCAAAAAAAAATTGGGAATTGTTCCCAAAAAATCTGGGAATTAAACCAAAAAATCTGGGATTTAACCCAAAAAAATCTGGGAATTAACCCAAAAAAATCTGGGAATTAACCCAAAAAAAATCTGGGAATTGACCAAAAAAATCTGGGAATTGACCCGAAAAAATCTGGGATTTAACCCCCAAAAAAATTGGGAATTAACCCAAAAAATCTGGGAATTAACCAAAAAAATCTGGGAATTGTCACAAAAAACAAACAAAAATCCCCAAAAATTCCCAAATTTTTGTGGATCCTTCCCTGATTTTTGGGGGATTCCAGACCCCATAAATCCCTCGAAAATCCAAATAAAATCCCTTAAAAATCAAGGAAAAACGGCAAAAAAATCAGGAAAAAATCAAAAAAAAATCAGAAAAAAATCCAAAAAAATCCAAAAAAATTGGGAAAAATTCCTAAAAATTCCCAAATTTATGTGGATTTTCCCCTGATTTTTTGGGGATTCCAGACCCCAATAAATCCCTCGAAAATTCAAATAAAATCCCTTAAAAATCAAGGAAAAAACGGCAAAAAAATCAGGAAAAACCCCCCAAAAAAATCAGAAAAAAAATAAGAAAAATTCCAAAAAAATTGGGAAAAATTCCCAAAAATTCCCAAATTTTTGTGGATTTTTCCCTAAATTTGGGGGATTCCAGACCCAATAAATCCCTCAAAAATCCAAATAAAATCCCTTAAAAATCAAGGAAAAACAGCCAAAAAAATCAGAAAAAAATCAGAAAAAAATCAGAAAAAAAAATCCAAAAAAATGTAAAAAATCCCCCAAAATTCCCCAAATTTTGGGGATTTTTCCCTAATTTTGGGGGATTCCAGACCCCATAAATCCCTCGAAAATCCAAATAAAATCCCTTAAAAATCAAGGAAAAACGGCAAAAAAATCAGGAAAAAATCAAAAAAAAATCAGAAAAAAATCCAAAAAAATCCAAAAAAATTGGGAAAAATTCCTAAAAATTCCCAAATTTATGTGGATTTTCCCCTGATTTTTTGGGGATTCCAGACCCCAATAAATCCCTCGAAAATTCAAATAAAATCCCTTAAAAATCAAGGAAAAATGGCAAAAACATCAGAAAAAAAATCAGAAAAAAAATCAAAAAAAATTGTGAAAAATTCCCCAAAATTCCCCAAATTTTGGGGATTTTTCCCTAAATTTGGGGGATTCCAGACCCAATAAATCCCTCGAACATCCAAATAAAATCCCTTAAAAATCAAGGAAAAACGGCAAAAAAATCAGGAAAAAATCAAAAATAAATCATAAAAAAAATCCAAAAAAAATCAGAAAAAAAATCCAAAAAAATTGGGAAAAATCCCCCAAAATTCCCCAAATTTTGGGGATTTTTCCCTAAATTTTGGGGGTCTCCCAGACCCCCCTTTTTGTCTCTTTTTTCCTGGCCCTGCAGGGGATGGCGGCGGCGCCGGTGCCGTGGTTCCTGCAGGGGGGGATGGCTTGGTTCCCCAATTTGGCGGCCCCTGACCCCCTGTACGTGCTGCCCGTGCTGGTCACTGCCTCCACCTGGCTCGTCCTGGAGGTGAGAGGAGAGGATTTGGGGGAAAAAACGAGGATTTTGGGAAAAAAAATGGAATTTTTAGGTGAAAAAATGGAGTTTTTAGGTGAAAAAATGGAGTTTTTAGGTGAAAAAATGGGGATTTTATGGGGGAAAAATGGGGATTTGATTGGGGAAAAATGGGGATTTTTTAGGAGGAAAAATGGGGAATTGGTAAAAAAAAATTTGGGGAAAAAATGGGATTTTTAGGTGAAAAAATGGAGTTTTTAGGCGAAAAAATGGGGTTTTTAGGTGAAAAAATGGAGTTTTTATGGCAAAAAATGTTAATTTTAGGGGGGAAAAATGAGAATTTTAGAGGGAAAAATTGGATTTTTTAGGAGGAAAAATGGGGAATTGGTAAAAAAGAAATTTGGGGGGAAAAATGGAATTTTTAGGTGAAAAAATGGAGTTTTAGGTGAAAAAATGGGGTTTTTATGACAAAAACATTAAGTTTTTATGGCAAAAAATGGGGATTTTAGAGGGAAAAATTGGATTTTTTAGGTGGGAAAAAGGGGAATTGGTAAAAAGAGATTTTAGGAGGAAAAATGGAGTTTTTAGGTGAAAAAAAGGAGTTTTTAGGTGAAAAAATGGGGTTTTTATGGCAAAAAATGGGGGAGTTTTTAGGTGAAAAAATGGGGTTTTTATGGCAAAAAATGGGGATTTTTATGGGGGAAAAATGTGGATTTTAGAGGAAAATGGGATTGGGGAAAAATTGGGATTTTTAGGTGAAAAATGGAATTTTTAGGTGAAAAAATGGAGTTTTTATGGCAAAAAATGGGGATTTTAGAGGGAAAAATTTGGATTTTTAAAGGGAAAAATTGGGATTTAGTAAAAAGAGATTTTAGGTGAAAAAAATGGAATATTTGGGTGAAAAAAATGAGGTTTTAGGCAAAAAAATTGGAATCTTTATGGTAAAAAATGGGGATTTTAGGGGGAAAAATGGGGATTCTGGAGAAGGAAAATATTTGCATTGGGGAAAAAAGTTTTTAGGGGAAAAAAATGGAATTTTGGGGAAAAGAATGGGATTTTTTTAGGTGAAAAAATGGAATTTTTAGGTGAAAAAATGGAGTTTTTATGGCAAAAAATGGGGATTTTATGGGGGAAAAATGGGGATTTTAGAGGGAAAAATTGAATTTTTAGGGAAAATGAGATTGGAGAAAAAACGGAATTTTTTGGGGGAAAAAATGGAAATTTTTGGATAAAAATTGGAATTTTTTTGGTGAAAAAATGGGATTTTTATGGCAAAAAATGGGGATTTTCGAGTGAAAATTTGGATTTTAAAGGGAAAAATTTGGGGTTTTTTTAGGGGAAAAATGGGGATTTGGGAAAAGAAGATTTTAGGTGAAAAAATGGATTTTTTGATGGAAAAGATGGGATTTTTGGGGGGAAAAAATGGGATTTTTCCGGCAAAAAATAGAGTTTTGGGTAGGGAAAATGAGAAATTTTTGGGTAAAAATGGGGATTTTTGGATAAAAAAATGGGAATTTTGGGTCGGGAAGGGGAATTTTGGGAGGTAAAAAATGAGGGTTTTGATAAAAAAATCTGAATTTTGTCAAAAAAAATTCAGATTTTGGTAGAAAATGGGATTTTTTTGGTTAAAACCAGGAGTTTTGGGGGTAAAATCAGTAGTTTCTGATAAAAGAAATGGGATTTTTTGGGGAAAAATGCCAGGTTTTTGGGAAAAAAATAGGAATTTTGGGGAAAAACTGAAACTTTTCAGGGAAAATGGGAATTTTGGGGTAAAAAATGGGAATTTTGGGGTGGGAAGAGGAATTTTGAGATTAAAAAAATGAGGATTTTGATAAAAAAAGGGAATTTTTTCCAAAAAAATGGGGATTTTAATGGAAAACTGGGATTTTAAAGGGGGTGGGCGTGGCTTAAAGTGGGCGTGGCCAAGTCGTTCAGCATAAAAAGTCAGAATTTGCATAAAAAATGCAAATTTCGGTTTAAAATTTTGCGCTTTTTTGGGTTTTAATAGAAATTAAACAGCCAAAAGGGGGCGGGGCCCCTTTATGCAAATGAGGGGCGCGGCTGATTTGCATTTCTCCGCAGCTGGGGGCCGAGACGGGCGTGGCCGCGCCGGGGGCGGGGCCTGTCCGTCAAATCCTGAGGTTCCTCCCCCTCGTCTTCCTGCCCTTCATCATCCACTTCCCCACCGTGAGTCGGGGGCGGGGCCTCTTCAAAAGGGGGCGTGGCCATTGAAAAATGGGGCGAGGTCGCTTTAAAAGGGGGTGTGGCCTCTTTAAATGGGGTCCTGTCCCTTTAAGCGTGGGCGTGGTCGCTTTAAAAGGGCGTGGCCATTTCAAAATGGGGCGTGGCCACTTTAAAAGGGGGCGTGGCCACATTAAATGTCGGCGGGGTCACTTTAAGAGGGGCGTGTCTTCCCTTAAAAGGGGCGTGGCCATTCTAAATGAGCCTGTGTTCCCTTTAAAAGGGGGCGTGGCCACTTTAAAGGGGGCGTGGCCACTTTCAAATGGGGTGTGGTCTTTTTAAAGGGGGCGTGGTCAAACCTTAAAGGGCGTGGCAACTTTAAACCTCCGTGATATCCCCCAAGTGGGCGTGGCCTCTTAAAAAATGGGCGTGGCCTCCACTCTTGGTATTCCCGCCCTTGTCTTCCACCCCCAAAATCCCGGGAATTCCCCCCGAAATCCACTTCCGGGTTTGACACTTCCTGGTTCGATAATTCCGGGTTCGCCGCGAGGCCCCGCCCCCCCGTGGGCGTGTCCTCGCTTCTGATTGGCTGCTCTTCCCAGGCCGTCTTCACCTATTGGCTGACGTCCAACGGCTTCAGCCTATTGCAGACGGGGCTGCTGCGAGTCCCCGCCCTCCGGGCCAAATTGGGCGTGGCCCCGCCCCTGGCCACGCCCCCGGCTCCGCCCACCGGCCCCGCCCCCCGGCCGAAGGCGGGAATCCTGCAGCAGCTGAAGAAAGGTCGGGAAAAAGCAGAAAAAAATGGGGGAAATTCGGGGATTTTTGGGAAAATTTGGGGGAAAATTTGGGAATTTTGGGAGGGAAAATTTGGGAGAAAATTTCAGGGAATTTTTGGGATTTTTTGGGGATTTTTTGGGATTTTTTGGGGATTTTTTGGGAATTTTTTGGGGATTTTTTTGGGAATTTTTTGGGGGAATTTTGGGGGAAATTCGGGGATTTTTGGGAAAATTTGGGGGAAAATTTGGGAATTTTGGGAGGGAAAATTTGGGAGAAAATTTCGGGGAATTTTGGAAATTTTTTGGGATTTTTTGGGGAATTTTTGGGGATTTTTTGGGGGATTTTTTGGGGGAATTTTGGGGGAAATTCGGGGATTTTTGGGAAAATTTGGGGGGAAATTTGGGAATTTTGGGAGGAAAATTTGGGAGAAAATTTCGGGGAATTTTTGGGGATTTTTTTGGATTTTTTTGGGAATTTTTTGGGGGATTTTGGGATTTTTTGGGGTTTTTTTGGGGAGTTTTTGGGGAATTTTCTGGAATTTTTGGGGATTTTTTTGGGAATTTTTTGGGGGATTTTGGGGAAAATTTGGGGGGAAAAATTGGGAATTTTGGGGGAAAATTTGGGAATTTTGCGGGAAAATTTGGGAGAAAATTTTGGGGATTTTTTGGGAATTTTCTGGAATTTTTGGGGATTTTTTGGGAATTTTTTGGGGAATTTTCTGGAATTTTGGGGGGAAATTTGGGGGAAATTCGGGGATTTTTGGGAAAATTTGGGGGAAAATTTGGGAATTTTGGGAGGGAAAATTTGGGAGAAAATTTCAGGGAATTTTGGGAATTTTTTGGGATTTTTTGGGGAATTTTCTGGAATTTTTGGGAATTTTTTTGGGAATTTTTTGGGGGATTTTGGGGAAAATTTGGGGGAAAATTTGGGAATTTTGGGGGGAAAATTTGGGAGAAAATTTCGGGGAATTTTTGGGATTTTTTTGGGAAAATTTCTTGGGAATTTTCTGGAATTTTGGGGATTTTTTGGGGAATTTTTTGGGGGAATTTTGGGGGAAATTCGGGGATTTTTGGGAAAATTTGGGGGGGAAATTTGGGAATTTTGGGAGAAAATTTGGGAGAAAATTTCGGGGAATTTTGGGAATTTTTTGGGATTTTTTGGGGAATTTTTGGGGATTTTTTTGGGAATTTTGGGGGAATTTTTTGGGGGATTTTGGGATTTTTTGGGGAATTTTTTGGGAATTTTGGGGGAAATTCGGGGATTTTTGGGAAAATTTGGGGGAAAATTTGGGAATTTTGGGAGGAAAATTTGGGAGAAAATTTCAGGGAATTTTGGGAATTTTTTGGGAATTTTCTGGAATTTTTTGGGATTTTTTTGGGATTTTTTGGGGATTTTTTTGGGAATTTTTTTGGGAATTTTCTGGAATTTTGGGGGGGAAATTTGGGGGAAATTCGGGGATTTTTGGGAAAATTTGGGGGAAAATTTTGGGGAAATTTTGGGGAATTTTTTGGGGGAATTTTGGGGGGAAAATTGGGAAAAAAATTTTGTGGAATTTTTGGGATTTTTTGGGAATTTTCTGGGGGAATTTTTGGTGGATTTTGGGACATTTTGGGTCATTTTGGGCTGAATTTGGGTCATTTTGGATAATTTTGGGTAATTTGGGTCCTTTTGGGTTGAATTTGGGTCATTTTGGGTCATTTTGGGGCAGTTTTATTTCAATTTGGGCAGAATTTGGGTCATTTTGGGTCAAATTTGGGATATTTTGGGTCATTTTTGGGTAATTTTGGGGTTATTTTATCTCATTTTGGGTTAAATTTGGAGCATTTTGGGTCATTTTGGAGCAATTTTGGGTCATTTTGGGCTGAATTTGGGTAATTTTGGGTCATTTTGGGGCCATTTTATCTCATTTTGGGCTGATTTTGGGTTATTTTGGATATTTTTGGGTAATTTGGGTCATTTTGGGTTGAATTTGGGTCATTCTGGGTCATTTTGGGGTTATTTTATCTCATTTAGGGTTAAGTTTGGAGCTTTTTGGGTCATTTTGGGACATTTTGGGTCATTTTGGGCTTAATTTGGGTCATTTTGGGTCATTTTGGGGCTCTTTTATCTCATTTTGGGCTGAATTTGGGTCATTTTGGGTAATTTGAGCTGAATTTGGGTCATTTTTGGGTGATTTTGGGGTTATTTTATCTCATTTTGGGCTATTTTGGAGCTTTTTGGGTCATTTTGGAGCAATTTTGGGTCATTTTGGGCTGAATTTGGGTTTTTGGGTGATTTTGGGGTTATTTTATCTCATTTTGGGCTATTTTGGAGCTTTTTGGGTCATTTTGGAGCAATTTTGGGTCATTTTGGGCTGAATTTGGGTCATTTTGGGTAATTTTGGGGCTATTTTATCTCATTTTGGGCTGAATTTGGGTCATTTTGGGTAATTTGAGCTGAATTTGGGTAATTTTGGGTCATTTTGGGGCCATTTTATCTCATTTTGGGTTAAATTTGGGTCATTTTGGGTCATTTTGGGGTTATTTTATCTCATTTTGGGTTAAATTTGGAGCTTTTTGGGTCATTTTGGAGCAATTTTGGGTCATTTTGGGCTGAATTTGGGACATTCTGGGTCATTTTGGGGCTATTTTATCTCATTTTGGGTTAAATTTGGGTCATTTTGGGTCATTTTGGGGCTATTTTATCTCATTTTGGGTTAAATTTGGGTTTTTTTGGGTCATTTTGTGTCTATTTTATCTCATTTTGGGTTAAATTTGGAGCTTTTTGGGTCATTTTGGGGCGATTTTATCTCATTTTGGGTCAAATTTGGGTCATTTTGGGTCATTTTGGGGCTATTTTATCCCATTTTGTGTTGAATTTGGGACAGTTTGGGTAATTTGGGTTAAATTTGGGTCATTTTGGGTAATTTGGGTTGAATTTGGGTCATTTTGGGTCATTTTGGGGCAGTTTTATTTCAATTTGGGCAGAATTTGGGTCATTTTGGGTCAAATTTGGGATATTTTGGGTCATTTTTGGGTAATTTTGGGGTTATTTTATCTCATTTTGGGTTAAATTTGGAGCATTTTGGGTCATTTTGGAGCAATTTTGGGTCATTTTGGGCTGAATTTGGGTAATTTTGGGTCATTTTGGGGCCATTTTATCTCATTTTGGGCTGATTTTGGGTTATTTTGGATATTTTTGGGTAATTTGGGTCATTTTGGGTTGAATTTGGGTCATTCTGGGTCATTTTGGGGTTATTTTATCTCATTTAGGGTTAAGTTTGGAGCTTTTTGGGTCATTTTGGGACATTTTGGGTCATTTTGGGCTTAATTTGGGTCATTTTGGGTCATTTTGGGGCTCTTTTATCTCATTTTGGGCTGAATTTGGGTCATTTTGGGTAATTTGAGCTGAATTTGGGTCATTTTTGGGTGATTTTGGGGTTATTTTATCTCATTTTGGGCTATTTTGGAGCTTTTTGGGTCATTTTGGAGCAATTTTGGGTCATTTTGGGCTGAATTTGGGACATTCTGGGTCATTTTGGGGCTATTTTATCTCATTTTGGGTTAAATTTGGGTCATTTTGGGTCATTTTGGGGCTATTTTATCTCATTTTGGGTTAAATTTGGGTTTTTTTGGGTCATTTTGTGTCTATTTTATCTCATTTTGGGTTAAATTTGGAGCTTTTTGGGTCATTTTGGGGCGATTTTATCTCATTTTGGGTCAAATTTGGGTCATTTTGGGTCATTTTGGGGCTATTTTATCCCATTTTGTGTTGAATTTGGGACAGTTTGGGTAATTTGGGTTAAATTTGGGTCATTTTGGGTAATTTGGGTTGAATTTGGGTCATTTTAGGTCATTTTGGGGCAGTTTTATTTCAATTTGGGTTAAATTTGGGTCATTTTGGGGCTGTTTTATCTCATTTTGGGCTGAATTTGGGTCATTTTGGGTAATTTTGGGTCATTCTGGGTCATTTTGGGGCTATTTTATCCCATTTTGGGTTAAGTTTGGAGCTTTTTGGGTCATTTTGGAGCAATTTTGGGTCATTCTGGGCTGAATTTGGGTCA